AGGGTTTAGAGGAAGCTGCTGCAGTGGATGGGGCCCAGCCTGGCTAATGGAGGGGACTCCTCTTTGGCCTGACATGACAAATACTGCCAGGCCACTGAGTCCCTGCCCCTTTGCTGCCTTGTTCTCCTTAAACACGTGACATCACCTTCCAGGGCAATCTGCAACAAGTACCATCCAGGCAGTCAGATGGTGGTGACTGTAGGTTCTAGAACTTCTGTGCCTGGCCAGGAGTAGGGTGGTATTTGGCTCTCTTGCCCTCCTCTGGCCCTTGCCCAGTTCCAGAAGAGCTGATTACCTTTCTTGCGATACAAGTTTATAAAATGCTTGAACCATTCACCTTGTCCTAATCATGATTCTTAACCTGGGCCCCTAGCTGTCTCCTGAAGAAGAAGAGAAGCGTCGAATCCGGAGAGAGAGGAACAAGCTGGCTGCTGCCAAGTGCCGGAATCGCCGCCGGGAGCTGACTGAGAAGCTGCAGGCGGTGAGGAGCTCTGTGAGGGTGGGAGCACTGGGGTGGCCGTGAGAGGGCCCAGGGCTTGCTCTCTCAAGTGCCCTGTGGATGAATCAGCAGAGACGGAACATTCTTTCCTATGTGAACACATGGGTCAACTTTGATGAATGAAAAGAGAGGGACCAGGCCTCTGCTACCAGGCTGTGCCTGGACAAAAGAACTGGACAGCCCTGGTAAGCTGGCATCTGTTGTCCCTCAGTGCCAAGTACTCTCTGCTGTCAGACCTGCTGGAGCTCCTGGGGATGGGGGGTAGGGAGTGTCAGTGTTCCTGGCTCCTGGGAGCCAAGGCAGATCCAGACCCCCCCCCCCCCAGGGCTGCTTCCCGAGGCTCTAGCTGCCTTCTGGTTTGCTGGCAGTGGGGGCCGAGCCTGGCCTAAAGGCTGTGGTTGGAGTGGGTGGGGGTGGGGAGTCCCAGTGTCAACAGGTCATGTGCCAGTCAAGTTGCATGTTCTTGGGGTTTCTCATCTCCTTTGCCGGCAGCAGGGTTCCCCACCTCTGCTGAGAGCCTCGGAGCCTCATGCTCCCCATCTGAGTCACTCATGCTTCCTAATTGCCCAGACCTGGGGGCCCACGGCCCCGCCCCTCCCTCTGGTAAGCTTGACCTGACCTGTGTCACGTAGCCCTCTCCAGCACCTTGCCCTACAGGGAGCACCACGTGCTGTGTAAGGTAGCCCAAAGCCAGGGCTGGCTCTCTTGGAGGGAATGCTTTTAAGTGGGGAAATCTGAGAGACTGTCAGTGGTCCTCACAGTGCCCGGCCAGGGTGGGCCTTTGGAGTACATCCCATCAGGGGCTTTCGTCCTCCCGGTACCTCCCCTTGCTCCATCCTGAAGCCCTGCTCTCAGGCACTGAATGTGTACTGTGTGTTCCGTGATGCCTGTCATAAAGCCCCAGGGAGGTGGTAGAGCCAGGCAGGGTGGCTGGAGCTCTCCCTCCTGGATGAGATGGATGCCGGGGGCACTCCTCAGCACAGCCCTCCCCACTGCTAGCCTTCCTGGCCGGGTGCTTCAGGAGGTGTCTCTTACCGCCAGCCCAGACAGCCCTCCCCCAGCTCCTACCTCCTGCCTCCTCCCAGAAGCCTCACATCCTTCACCCCTTCCTCCCCTGGCCCTGACCCAGCCACCCAGGCCCCCGAGCCACATCCTCCACAGGAAGCTTCTCTCAGGCTCATGACGTTCATCAGACCCTTGAGACAGACGGAAACTTTTTTACCCCAGAATATACTAAACTCTGCTTAATGAAACTCTTGCCAGTATCTGGTGTGTCCTCATTCATGAACAGGAATCCGAGTGAGGGAAAAAGTTGGGGTGGGGGGAGGCTAGTGACTCACACCTTTCCCCTCCCACAGCTGCCCCTTCCTTGTACACTTCGTGGGAAAGAAGGGGGTCAAGGTCTTTGTAAAATGGCTGGTCCCACAGGCTATCAGATGCCTCCCCTGTCCTCCTGTGGCTGAACTGAATGTGCTCCAAGTTCTGGGAGCCCAGAGGCAGGGGCTTCAGAACCTGGAGCAGGAATAGGAGGATCCCACAGGGGTTGGCTGAGACTGACTTCAAGGCAGGGACTGTCCCAGTGCCGGGGCAGAGGAACATGCGCAATCCAGTGACCACTAGTACACAGCTTCAGGTTCAGGGCGACTGGTGGGGGCTGAGGAGGAGCGATGGGGCAGGCTGAGGTGGGGGCTGCGTTTTGTGTTCCCTTCTCCATGGAGGACTCTGTTTCCCTGGGGAGCCAGGGGCAGTAGAATGTACATTCTGACTGTGGAATCAGATCCATTGGAATTGAAATCTGGACTGCCCTGCCTGCTAGCTCTGTGACTCTGGATAAATTATTAAACCTGTCTGAAACTCAGTTTCTTCATCTGCAAAAATGGGTTGTTGATAACATCTGCTTTCAGAAGCTTCTAGAGGACTGTGATCTGTGAAATGTATAATACAGGGTCGGGCACAAAGTAAGTGCTCAGTTATGGTAGCTGTGACAATTTCACCCCTCTTCCAAGCCAACTTTCCTCTTTGGAAATAAAAGCAGTTGTGACGCAGCATGTGACTCAGAACCAATAAGGTCTGTGGCCAGGTGTGTGAGCTGGCTGCTGTCACAGTGGGTCATCTGGGGACCTCGCTGCTTTTGCTTTTCTCACCTAGACCATCACTGTCACCCAGGAGGTCCTTGGAAAGCTGCTGTCCCTTACATCCCTCTTTCCCGTGCAGGAAACTGAGGAGCTGGAGGAAGAAAAATCGGGCCTGCAGAAGGAGATCGCAGAGCTGCAGAAGGAGAAGGAGAAACTGGAGTTCATGTTGGTGGCTCATGGCCCTGTGTGCAAGGTCAGCCCTGAGGAGCGCCGGTCGCCTCCAGGCCCTGGGCTGCAGCCCATGCGCAGCGGGGGCAGCTCAGTGGGAGCGGTGGTCGTGAAACAGGAGCCCCTGGAAGAGGACAGCGCCTCATCCTCCTCAGCAGGTCTGGACAAGGCCCAGCGCTCTGTCATCAAGCCCATCAGCATTGCTGGGGGCTTCTACGGGGAGGAGCCCCTGCACACCCCCATCGTGGTGACCTCCACACCTGCCATCACTCCAGGCACCTCAAACCTCGTTTTCACCTACCCCAGTGTCCTAGAGCAGGAGTCGCCCGCGTCACCCTCTGAGTCCTGTTCCAAGGCTCATCGCAGAAGCAGTAGCAGCGGGGATCAGTCGTCAGACTCCTTGAACTCCCCTACTCTGCTGGCTCTGTAACCCCACGCTCCTTCCAGCTCTGGAGGGGTCCTCGTCACTGCCTCCTTCCAGGGACCAGCACGTTCAAACACTCCAGGGCCATGAGGGCAAGAGGGGGGCCTTCTAGGGAGCTTCCAGGCTCTGGGGGACCCAGGTGGGACTTGATGGTGAGGTGTCAGAGGACTTGGTTGACCACCTGGAAGCCCTAGGACCTTTACTTTCCATCATTCATCTTGGAAGCAAATCTTCTTTCTTGAAAAGTCATGGAGAACCTGGTTTGGTGGCTTCTGAAGAGCCTGGAGCTGGCCTGGACCATTCTCGTCCCTCTGTCATACCATTGTCTCTGAAATGATGGTGTCCTTCCCTGCCCGGCCAAGCATGCTCAGTGCCTTTGGTTTCATCCTCCCTTGACTTGCCCCATCCTTCCCCAGTGTTGGTTTTATTCCTTCTTCATTTTTATCAAATTTGCCATGACATTTCACCGGGGTAATCTGGATATTAAAACTCTTCATTTCTGGAGGTGGGGCAGCAGGTAACTCTTCTGCTGGGACTGACTTGTCCAGAAGGGGACAAAGTGCAATACAGAACCTTCTCTCCCCAACACTCCCCAGGGCACTGCCATCAGCAGAACCAACGGCAGGGTCCTCTAAGCTCCCCAGGAAATGCCACCATCACTGAACAGGCCTGAAGGACCCTTCCTCCTCACCCTAGCAACATCTTTCAGAAGATCAACGTGGCCAGAAGAAAGGGTGTGATTGAGATGGTGGGCACAGTCTGGGTGTGCCAGGTGCCTAATTACCAGGCCAGAAGCAGTGCTAACAAAGCCACATGGTGTCCCAGACAGCTTCCCTTCTCCTGGTGTCTCGAGCAGGGCGTCTCCTGTAATTACTGCCTCACCATTCTGCCCCTGGACCCTTCTCTCCAGACTGGGGAGGAGCCCCTTCCTTGGAAACACACATCACTCCAGGCCCTGCTGGCCTCCACCCTTCCCTGGCGCTCAGGGTGACGCCACCCACGGAGATTTAATGAGCGTGGGCCTGGACCCTCCCCAGATTTTAGCAGGTGACTCTTCCCCAAGCCTCAGAGGATGGAAGGGCCTAGGATGGGACTGGGAGACGGGAGGCTGTCCTTGGGGTGATGTCAGCAGAGGCAGCAGCCTGGCACCCAGTCCGCCCTGCCTGACCTGGCCACACACATCTCAATGAAGTGCTGTGCCCTTCTGGCCTCTGTGGTCATCACCCCCTGATTCAGGAGTGAATGCTGTCTCCTCACACTCCTCCCACCTCATTCCAGGGTACCCTTCTGCCCTGCTGTCAACAGGCTGCACACAGCCGCATGCTGGGGCTTGGAGCTTACGCACTATCTGGCTGGCTGTTGAATCTTTCCAGCTGCTGACATCAGCTAGGATGTGTGGCTTCCTGCTGCAGGAGAGCTACCCCCTTCCAGTGGGTCTCCTTACCTCCAGCAGGAGCACAGCTTAGCGTGGCTGTGCCTGCCAGCCCTGAGCCTTCCTCCCCAGAACATGTTGATCCCTGTCCTGGGAAGTGGCTTCTTGTCCCTCTGGCCGCTGTAGGGCTAGTGCTCTGCTGGAGAATCTATTGGTGATCTGGCTCTCGAGATCATTGTCCACCCATTCAAAATGGTATCAGTGCTATTTTAATCAAGCCTAGTGGCATTTAAATGTCCAGCTCTGGAGAGAGTAGAGACAGCTTCTCAGACCTGTTTCTTTCATACCCCGAGGCATGCACTAGCAAGGAAGAAGAGCCATCTGCCTAAAGTACACAGCCAGGCAGGGGTGGAAGTGATGTGTGCAGGAGTCAGCCACCTAGAGAGAGGGGAGCAAAAGAGAAAAGATTTTGTTCAAAATACTTTGAACACATTCTTTCCTGTGTTCCTTGGCTGCCTTCTGGTTTCTAGGGCCTCTGGGAGGGGTGCTCCTAAGAAGACTGGCCAGCTGGCTTTCCGATCTCAGATTAATCAAAGAAGCCAAAGCAGCCAGGAGTAGCAGGAGATGGGCAAAGAAAACTGGGTACTTTGAGCTTGGAGAGGCTTAATCATCTCAAGTGGTATTTATAGCCAGGTGGGAGTTATTTGCTTCTTTGTGCATCGTGTATCCTCAATGGAGCTGTTTTCTGGCGTGTTCTTTCTAAAAGCCCCTTTATGCCCCACTCTATGCTGCGTGGATTCCCATGCAGGTCACAGTCTATGACTTGGAGCCAAGCTGGACATTGCTGAGCCAGAGTTTGGCTTTGGTTCAGATTTCAAACTCCACTGGTGTTGGACCCAGCCAGCCCTCGGAACTTAAAAGGCTTCTGACTTTCGGCCCTTCGTGGATCTCTTGCTCTGTCCTAGGAGGATGTTTGGCTTCCCCAGAGCCACAAGTTATTTAGGGAAGGCTGAATATTCACACCTGAGTCACGAGCGTGCCCTCAGTTCTCCTCGTCCTGGCCCGCTCCCCTCATCCTGGCCTGCTCTCCAAGTTCCCTCACATACACATCCTTACTCCGGCATCGCCAGACGCCTGGCCTGCTGCTTTCTCCTGCACGGTTCCGGCTAAGGGAACAGCTGCAGTGGGGATTCCTTTGTGCTTGGGCAAGGAGCTGCTGTGCCTTTCTGTGAACTCAGCCCTGAGGCAGCCGTGTGGACTCCAGCTGGGCTGCACGCAGCTCTGGGACGCGCTCTGCAGGCACTCCTCGACTGGTCAGTGTGAAACACTCCTTGTGGCCACCTGGCTGGCCTCTGTGAGAACAGTCCTCCCCTCGGCCTGGTGGCTGGAGACAGGAAAGAGAGCAGATCCCAGGTGATACTTCAGAAATTTCCAGAGCCAGCTCCAAGCAGAGAATCCCCTGGGGGTGGAGGGTGTTTTGCAAGAGGCATCATTTTGTCTGTTGAGAGACCAACCGTGGCTAGTCACACAAGCATCTCAAAGGCAAGAGCCACCAAGAGCTGCTGCTTTTCCTCGCCTTTGGGAAAAGGAGTCTCTCTATTGCCATTTGACTTCAAGTATCACAAGGGGACTGACCTGTCTGGAGCATGAGAACTTGTTTCTCTTTTTCTCTGATGGTCCAACAGTGCTCCTTACAATCTTATCATGTAACGTTCAGGTTGATTTCCTTCCCTGATCAGACATCCATGTGGCCCCTGAAGAAGGAAAAGAATAAGCACCTATGACATGTCAGGCACTGTTAGGCACTTTTATATTTATCCCTTTTAGGATGAGATTAAGGGATAAAGGAATCCCCTTATAAAAGGCCCCCCAAGTAGTGGCTAAACAAACGCCCTTGGAGGTGAGATGGTCTTTCTTCAAGACCCGAGGTAAGATTGCCTTCAGCCTGAAGATTGTTCTCAAAGACCCATCTCCTGGGGTATCTGCCCTCCTCCCTGTGCCCGGCCTGTGCTCTATTGTACTCCTGAGATGGCTGGAGGGGTGACCTGCATCTTTATAGAATTGTGGACCAGTAGGATATTGGTGTGTATAACTTTCTTTTTAAACTTAAGTAAAGGGGTCTTGCTATGTTCTGCTTGTTGAGTCTTCTTGGCATTCATCTTAAAAGCCAGCATCTCACTATTTATTGACAGGTGTGTGCGTGTATGTACGTATGTGTGTATGTGTGTACTCATGTGTGTGTTTCCAGGTGTGCTTGTATCTTGCAGCTTTTTAGAAAGAAACCCAGTTATCCCACTACCAATTTGGTATCTTCTCATGCTTCCTGGGTCTTTGGCCACGTGTCAACAAAGGATTTTAATTTTCTAATGCTGACAACATGTTCAGGAGGGATAGGGTCAGATTTTGATGAGGGGAGGACATGAGAAGGGACGGGGGAAAAGAAATCGACATTTATTTTATTATTTATTTTAAATGTTTACATCTTTGTGTTGTACCAAACCTAAATAGAAACATAGCATTAAAATATTCAGTTCCTTTCTCTCTTGCTTACTTTTTAAAAAATTTACAATAATTTTGCTTTTTTTGTTTCCAAAGTGATTTGTGACATGTGCTGTATAAACTGTATAAAAAGGTTCTGTTTCTAAAGGTGGGTTGTCATTCCTCTGGGGATAGTGGCTGTCAAGAAATATACATTGTAAGAGGATACAGTGAAAGACCTTGTCCTGGTCCTCAAAAATTACTTTCTCTGCTCTGATTAAAAAAAAAAATTATTCCATTTATTTTAGTTTGTGGTCACTTGATTTTGAGGAAGAAAATATTTGACTTTGTATAAAAACTAGGTATCAGGTGTATTTTGCAGTGGGAGATGTATATAGTAGTATTTTGGTATATAGTGGAAACCCACGAGCTTTGTGCATTTGTATTTGAGATACGCTGATGATGTGGAGTGAAGTCTACTATTAGACCCTGGAGGCAAACAAGTTTTACAAGATTTCTGTTGCTCTGTGGGGAACTTGATCACCTTTCTGGGCACTTTTTTTTATTTTTTAAAGTAATGATGAAAGGGTCCTATTGGAGGATCTCTATGTTGACTTTTCCAAGCAGGACTATGAGCCCAAAATCTTTGTATAGCTTTGAAAATTGAGGAATAGAAGCATCTCTGGTGGTATTTGTTGTTGTTTTTATTCTGTTGTTTTACTGTATGTAACACAAGCCTACAGTATTTGCACTAAAGAAAGCTTGTTAGAAAAAGCTTGCTGCTATGGAAGAAAGAACATATTAAAACATTTTTCCCTTGCGGTATTTTTTTTTTTTTTTTTTTGTTAGCTTTTCCACTTTCTGTTGAGTAGCGTTTTGTAGAATAAAATGAATTAAGATCGAACAGCCTCTGATGGTCGCTTTATTCCATCTTTCCCCCTCTGTTCTGTAGCTTCTTTTTTTCTCTTCTACTCTTGCTACCTTTGACCTTGTGGGTAAAGCAGGTCTCTTCTGAGGACAAAGATCACTGGAAATGTTTTTTCTGCCATGCTGTAGAGTGGATTGCTTAGGGGCTTTAGAGCCCCCAACCCTCTGATTTGCCTTCATTCTTTCCCCCTTGACCTTTGCCCACCCCATCCTTCTGGATTTCCCACTGCCCAGGGCCTAATTCTCAGCAAGCTGTCAACTGCTGCCAAAGCATGAACCAATAAAAGTTTAAGGGTATTTTGTTTGAACAGGTTGATTCTGGGAATCCAGAAATCTTCAAAGAAGCAATTAAATTTATTGCTAAGGTTGTCATGGTGGCCAGACAAAATCAAGTGCAGGGCAGGAGAGGGCTCTGAAAACAACAGGCATGCAAATAAATGTGGTGATGGGATCTCTAGACTTCCTTTCTGAAAGATGGCAGGTTGTTAGGTGTGAAATACTCAGAAATGTCAGCTCAGTTCTCATTGTCCTGTAGACTGGGAAACCTGGGGTAGCTGAGGAATATCTTTTCGGGGATGCTCTTTCCTTGTAGGGAGGCAAACCAGTTATTAGGTAAAACTTGAGCACGGCACTTGGCTGAGGAGTAGCTGTGGAATTACATACTTGCTCCAGTGTGCTTAGGCAAGTTTAGAGAGCAGGCCTCATTTTCTGGAGGATCCATGAGCCCTGTATGGGGACTCAGGGAGGCCCTGAATCCTAGACTTACTCCCACTACTCCTTGCCTGTTGAGGTTTTTGAAAGCCATTGAACCTCCCTCACTCATCTGTGAAGGGGCAGATAATGACAGCTTTATAAGAGCACCCTCCTAGAAGGGGTGACAGTATCTTCTCCATCCCCTTTGGGTCCACATGGTTCAGGGGATCGGTGCTGCTCAGAAGTTTCAATTTTCTTTACCAGCAGACCTGCCTGGAGTGGAGAGAAATTGTTTGCTGAAACTCTGCCATTGGGCAGGATCCTCTCCTTTTGCTCAGTGAGGGTCCCAGGAGACGGATGCCATGGCCAGGCCTACCAAGGTCTTAGAGTTATATTCTGGAACAGCTCCTGTCTTGGCAGTCAAGGGAACAGGGAAGTTCCTATACTTTCAGAAGTTCCTATACTTTCCTGAGCAACTGATGTGTTGATACTTGTGAAGTGTCAAGGAGCAGATGCTGGGCTTCTCAGGGTTGTAGGGATGATGCTGCTGTCCTGAGAAGCATGTGCTCACATCTCTAGGTTTGTCACTGCACCCGGGTGCATCCACACATTGTCTGACCTTCAGATACACTTCAGAGTCTACTTTATTTAAACTTCTACCTCTTTGTCTATATAGCAATTAGAGTGGTTGCTGACTGCCAGATACTTAGATGGAGTCATAAGCTGCTTTGTACAGCTATAAATGCCGTAAGAACAGACAGCTGTTCTGTCTTTTATGGAGAAAATCAGTAAGGAGCCACTTCTCCTGGGTCCACTGGGGAGGTTTTGCAGTCACTGGTAAGTCTGGGCTGAACTGGTCCACACCAGTTTCAGCATAACCTGGGTTGATTGTAAATTTTTTATCCCATTTCCAACAGAGTTGGAGTTTCAAGGGGTATGCAAAGTTATCTTAGCAAGAATGTCTTAGGAATTTCTGAGACGATCTCCTTTTGTTGTTGTGTTCCAAGTGAACACAACTTTGTCTCCAGGCTTTTGTTTTTATTAGACCTGCTGGTATGTATGAGAAAAGGAATTTCTCCTGGAGCTGCCATTTTTCGACATATTGAACAATGAGACCAAGTATGTGAAAACACTGAGGAGATATGAAATGCTAAAACCAGGAGAAATTTTAAGCCACTAAAACCCCTAGGCCGGGGCAACTGTATTGCAGTGTAGCCATTGGCCTCTGGGGTTCAGGGCCATGTTGGAAGTGAAGGGCGTGATTTCCTGTTGGCCCTATGTGTTTCAAGGGTAGATGGACACTTATCCAGGAACAGCCTGGCACCATTGGATACTGGGCCCCACCAAGTCCCCCAAAAGAAGCCCCAGCCCAGGGGGGTACTAATGGCCTTATACTTGCCCTGTTCTTGCTGACAGAGATTCTATTTCTTCCTGATGAGGCGAAGAGAAAGACAGCTTCCTGCAAAGCTGTGGATGGTTAGAGCTGGTCCACTTGGCTTTCTTTTTTATTTTTAAAATTTATTTGGCACAGGGTCTTGCTACACAGCTGGGACTTATAGTGATCCTCCTGTCTCAGCTTCCTCAAGGCTGGGATTACAGGTACACGCCACCATGCTCAGCATCTGCTTGACCTTCTTTACCATCAGACTTGCCTGGAGTGGAGAGACACTGTTTGTTGAAACTCTGCCATTGGGCAGGATCCTCTCCTTTTGCTCAGTGAGGGCCCCAGGAGACAGATGCCATGGCCAAGCCTACCATGGTCTCAGAGTTGTTGATTCTGGAAAGTTCCACTCATTTAAAGAGAAAATAATTAAAACTGCCTCAGGCTTTCCCTCTGGAACTCGAAGATCTTTAATCAAACTAAATACCTTAACAAGGACCTAACATCATGTGTAGTGGCATATGTCTATAATCCCAGCACTCAGGAGGCTGAAGCAGGATTGCCATGAGTTCAAGGCTAGCTGGGGCTACATAATGAATTCAGAGTCATCCTGGGCTACAGAGTGAGACCCTGTCTCAAAACAAAAAAGCGAACAATGCTGCAACATCTAGTGTGTTCACAATATTGCACAACCACCTTGATCTATTTCCCATTTTCATCACCAGGAAAATAAACCCCATACCACTAAATGTGAAGTCCTTACTGGCTTTTTTCTGAATCCTAGCTGACCACCCACCTGCCCCTGAGTGCTGAGTGCCCGGGGGGGGGGGTCTGTATGAATTTAAAATCCTCATGGTATTTTTGAGACTCCTAATGATTCTATTTTTGAACTAAAAAAATCGTAGAAAGTTAGCAGGGATAACTAACTAACAGGTATTAATGGTGTGCTCCCCCTCTTCTTTTCACTTCCTGCCTTTTCGTGTCTTCTCACACAGGGACTCTTTCAGGAGCCCAAGAGATGTTGCTGGGCGTGTGGGAAAATCTCAGCTCTGCGAGAAATTCCCCCCTCCCCCCGCAGCGGTGGGTCTGCTGCATTAGCTGGACAGTCACCACCCTGAACCAGTGCACGAGGCATTCATTTGTTTCTCAAATAAAAATGGAATAAACTCGAAAAGCCAGACTGTGTTCACCGAAGAGCACCGATACCCTTGTTGTGTCACAGGCATAAAGACCACAGTTTAAAACTGAGCACGCAGAGGCTGTTCCTGTCCTCTTTGAGGAGATGAGGGGAAAAAAATCTCTCATTTGTTCACGCATGTTCTTGTGTCCCTGCTAAGCGCAGGGCATTGCAAAAGGCATTCTTGGGAACACAGATGAATAGGGAACTTGGTGCGAGCGTTGTGTAAGGTGTCTCTTTGCTTCACAGTCAAGTGCTTTCATTTGGAATAGCAAAACTGTAAACTAGAAGCTGCCCTCCGGGAAGTTCAGGCTGGTGGGAATGGAAAGTCAGGGGAACACACACATTGTGGCCTGCAGCAGGGGCGTGGGGGTTCAGAGAAGACTCCCTGCAGGGAAGGGCCTGGTGTTGGAGTTGGAAGGGTAAGAGGATGACCACAGTGAAGATGGAGTGGAGCGCAGGTATGCGGGACGAGGGAGCCATCTGAGCAGAGAAGATGAAGGTGTGGGGTGGCTGTGGCGGTTGGGTTGAGCATGTGCTGATGGGGGAGGGTAACGAACACAGAAGCCATACTTGAGGGTCTTTCAAACAGCAGCCTTGAATCTTTCTGTCACACACCAATGCCGATTTGTGCCAGGCCCTGCCCGTAGACTGGGGAGCCAGAGGGGATGGAGAAGCCTTAGCATCCCACCTGGTGTGCTCTCCTTGGAGCAGGATCTCTATGAGTTCATTGAGAGATTTAGAGAAGACATATAAGGTGCTGTGAGTGCAGCAGGTACTTCCCAAACCTGGGGGTCAGGGATGGGTAGGAGAGCTTCCCAGAACCAGTGCTATTTAAACTGAGATTCCCGGAAGTACATGAAAATAAATGGAAGCTTTACTTCTAGGTATTGCGAGTTGCCAAGGGTGTGACTGAATGGCAGGTGACATAGCTGCTGTTGCACTCAACAAAGATGAACACAGCAAGTGCTCAGGACAGGCAGGAAAGAGAGGAGGAAGCAGTGACAAGAGAGGCCCAGCTGACAGACAGAGAGTGCCAGCCATGGAACCTGAAGGCCAGAAGGTGCTCCTGTGGAGGCCAAGTGCAGGACATCTGGTTCCAGGAACAGAAACTGGGAGGCGAGTGGAGGAGCTGGGTGGGTGGGGAGGCCCAGGCCCCTAGTTCAGTTTTAGGCATGTGACTTTGAGGAACTATGGGTAGGGGTGGGCAGGGGTCCTGGGCTGAGGCAGTACACAGACAGAGCCCAAGGCCAGGATGAGGAGTTGCTTCTGGAGAAAGTCACACACCTTGCAGCTTGGTGCCTCCCTCAACTCATGTTCCCAGCAGCCCTCGTCCTCAGCTGTGGACTCTTGGCCAGTCTCTCTTCTTCCCTGGAAGGGCTACTCAAACTGCCTCTTCTCTCTCAGACTGTCCCCCAGCCCCCTCACTTCTCACAGATGATGTCATCTTCCACTTCACTGAAGAGGGAGGCCATCACAGGGGATCTCCTCAGTTTCCTATCACCAAGTTGACAATCCTGTCAGCCTCCGACCTTTTATTTCAGCAGAGAAGTGTTCCTCCTGCTCACCAAGAAAGTCTTTCTCCTCTCTCCGGCTGAAGCTCACCATGTTCGTTTTTCTCAAAGGCCCTGTTTAAGCCTTTTCCTGCTCTCCTTGTCCTGTTATTGGTGTCTACCTTCCAAGCAGCAGTAAACGAGATCAAGTTTTGCCCATCTTGAAAAC